AAGTCACCTTTGATTTAATAATTATTTATTTCATGAGTTAATAAATGAAGGTCTTTGTGTCTGAAATAACGTTTTTCTTTTAAAGCACACTGAGCGTTAGTTGCTCATGTTGGCTCTTAACCAGTTGCTGAATTTCAATCACAAACTCATGTATATGTGTAATCAGAGGCTTATTTCCTCAGATCCTCAAATATTTTGAGAAACTTTATTTGGTTTCTACCAAACTTTCATCCAGTTGGACTCCTGAATAGTCCGTGTTTTATGACAAAAAGAGTGAATCCAGAGATACAGTAATGAGAAGTTACAAGTATACACAGACCAAGGCAAGGAATGGGGTTTGCCCAGGAAGGTGGTAATACAGGAGCAGTGTGAGGCTGCCGCCGCCAAAGGCTCTGCTCTCGCTCTTACCACGCCCCCTCCCCAGTCTTTCATGGCTGGCAAGACTTGGGTATGTGGGTGCTTGTTGGGTGGGATGGTTAAGCCTTTGCAACTGAAGAAACTTCACAGACCATCTGATAAAGTCAGGCAAGAAAAGCTTGGCTCACTCACTGCTGTCTTAGATTTGGTTTCCAAGAGAAGATCTTGAGATGAAAGTTTTTGCTTACCAGATTAAGGAACTGTGCTCCTGTGGGCTGTGGATGTGGCTCAGTCAGTAGTGCTTGTAGTACTATCATGACGACCTGGGATCAATCCCCAGAAACCACATAACAAAGCCTGTCCTTGTGATATCAAGCAGATCGGCAGGGTTTGCTAGTTACCCAGCCTAGCCTACTCAGTGAGTTCTAGGTCAATGAGAGACCCTGTGCCAAAAACTCAAGGTAGATAGCTCCTGAGGAACAGCAATGAAGGTTGATTTCTGGCCTCCACATGTATTTACATAAGTATGCACCTGGCACACACACGAACACACAAACACGCATGCACACACAGAGGGGAATGTGCCAAGGAGAAACCAAGAAGGAAGGAAGGAATTCAAGGTGATGAAGGTCTGATGCCAAGGAAGGGTACAGTTTGATGTGAGGCCCAGCCTGAACTCAACAGGTGCTCTGAAAGGGTCCTTACACTGCAGAATCTGTCCACATGGGTATGAGAAGCCACCAGTTAATTGGCACACATGTTTTGAGTCCACCCGTGGCTACAGCCACACAAGAGGGAGTGGAGGAAAACTATTTCCAGCCACTCATGGATTTTAGGAGAGTTGCAAGCGTAACCTCTTAGAAGTAAAGTACAAACAGGGGCTGGTGAATAGGCACCCAGAACCAGCAAAGGGATCTAGAGAACTGGGTGGAGTACTGACTCCATCAGCGTAGCTCCCTGGTCAATTAGGAGTTCCTAAGTTCAAGCTTCTATCTTAATGACTTCTCTGCAGAAAAAAAGATATTAGCTTGACTCTTTGATAGTCAAGCCCCCAGTCGCCCCTCTTTTTATCTTTAATATATATAGCCACTGTCATATATACCATTCTCAATCATCCAGGCCAGCTTCTTTTTTCTTGAGAAAGTATAATAATTGATAGGCAGTTATATACTCTGTCTTCCGTGTTAGGTCGTGGAACTGTGCGTAGGTCAATACCTATTAATAATGAGCGATGAATTGCCCTCCAAGTTATGAGCCCTGTGTGGAACAGATAGACCACACATTTTGCTGACTCTCTGAAAGATTCTAAACCACTGGCTACTCTTAGTTGCCTGTTAATTCTCCCTCCTAGATTTATTTAATCCCGCTAAAGAATAATTCAAAGTGGTGATGGTTCCCAAGACTCGCAGCCTGTGGTAGTCAGCAAATGTGGTCACGAAGCAGGAATTCTGTCACCCTTGAAAAAAATGCTTATCCTGTTGATCAGTGTTAATGGAGGTCACTGTGGCCAGAGACCAGCCCCAAGGTAGAGATGTAATCCTTTGGAATCTATTATCCTGTTGAATGCAGCAGTCTGTAGGAGGCTGGAAATGCATGCTTGGGTTGGAAATTTCTCCTTCAAGTTCAGTGCCAAAACAGGAATAGAGTTACTCTTAAAATACAGTTGCAGCTTTACTCCTTTCAGGGCCTGGCTGCCGGCCTGCCTGCTTTGCTTCCTTTTGGTTTTTCTTTCACCTTGCTTTTCATTCAAGAATGATTTATTGAGTGTCTGTGACGGGCCAGACACTGCAGTGGAGTATGTTAGGGAACAAAGGCATGCAAAGGCCTCCCCATCAGTGAAACTTCCATTCAGGAGACAGACTGAACTGCGTATGCACACATAGTATTTGCAAGCCATGGAGAGTGCCGTGGCGGAAATAAGGGAGGACAGGGAGACAGAAGCACTGAGGAGACAGGCGTGAGTAGGAAGAGGTGTCCTAGAGAGGTGCTGTCTGAGAAGAAGCCAGTTCCTGGAAGATCTGGAAATAGAATTTTTCCTGGTGGAGGGAGGCATGAGTGTGGGGCTCTCTTCCAGCCTCAAGCCCAGAGGGCTATAGAAAAGCTAGCCAGTGTGTTCCGAAGACAAGGGGCAAGCAGTCACCAGCTTAATGTAGACCCCGTAGGCCACAGATAGTCACAACATTTTAAGGATTCAAGGGTTCTAAATAAGAGTAACGACTTGATTTTTTTTTTAAAATGGCAACTTCTTGCTTTGTTGTGGTCGTGATGTGTGTGGAGGCTGGAAGTCAGGAGAGGAAAGCCGGCAGGCGAGTCTGCCTGCAGTGCTGCGGGCATAGTGGGTGGGCAGTACACACAGCTAAAGGCGTTGGTGGTTGAAGGTGTGTTATCCAGCTTTTCTTGCTTCAGTTTTCCTTCCTGATGATGGGGTGATATCTTGCTACCAACCATGTTGTGTTCTTCTGAGGACCAAATGTAATAATAGTTTTTCCTTGAGGAACTCAATAATTTTGTGCAAAAGTAATGAATACATAATTGCAGTTTTCTATCATCGTTGGATGTAGAGGGAGAAATCAAGGATGAACACTGAACCTTGAACAGCATGGCCTGTTGTCTGTGTGTGGGGGTCAAATCCTAGAATACTTCAGAGATGTACAAGTTCTCCATCCAACTGTGCTGCTGTTGATGCTTGACGACTACGGTAGATCTAATTGTCTTTGTATTTGGGGGTAGTGCAATTATTATTTTTTTAAATAAAGAAAGAAGGTAAAAATGACCAATGTGGAAAAAGGAGCATGGTTTTTATTCTGCAGTTGCTATGTTCAATCCCTGTTAGATCCAAGTGTGCTGATGTCTGTGTTGATGTCTAATGTAATATGTAAGCAAGAAAAACAATAGAGGGGAAAACTTTTTGCTGTTGGAACACAGATAGATGGTAAACTGGTGAAAAGAGGAATTACAAGTCTGGATATGCGGCTTGATGGTAGAGTGCTTGCCTAGCATGCTTGGAGTTCTGGGGTTCATTCCTGCCACTGCTTTTCAAACTAAAACAGTCAAAAGGGGAACTAGAATTGGAGCAGAAAGGGCAATGTCCGGTGGAAGATAGGCAGACTCATTTATTATGCATGCAAAGAATAATGTCGATGCCACCAAGAAAATCCAAGTTATTCAGAAGTGGTGACACCTGCATCTAATTCAGCACTGCAGAGACTAAGGTAGAAGGATTGTGAGCTTGGTGATAGTTTGGGCTACATGGGAGACCCTGTCACAAACAAACACTCCCCAAGGTTCATGAATGTAGAAACCTCTTTCACTAACCCATATAGGATATTTGGGATCAATGACTTCTTATTCTTAGACTTAAGAATGCTGGTTTGAAGCCTGACTGTTTCTTAATAATTACATGATCTTTATTTTTTTTTTGATTTGTTTATTTTTATTTTATGTCTATGTGTGTGTTACCTGATGTATGTAAGTGTACCCATGTCATGCAGTGCCCGTGGAGATCAGAAAGGGCATCAGATTCCCTGGAACTGGATCTATAGATGGTTGTTAGCCACCATGTGGGTACTGAGAACTGAACTGGGTCTTCTGCAAGAGCAGCTAGTGCTTTTAACCACAGGGCCATCTCTCCAGCCCCTAACTACATGATCTTGAAGGATGCTGTCAAGTTCTCTAAATTCTAGTTTCCTGTCAACAACAACCTACCTCCCAATGTTTTTAGAAGGATCAACTGAGACAACATACGAAAAAGAAATGGAAGTCTTTTTAGAATGTGAACATATTATTACTGTAATCACCCAACTTTGAGCAATTAGAACCCATTTGAACTCTATCTATAGTGTTTTCATTTAAATGATGCTTTCATTTAGGTGAATCTCAGCCCCAGAAGAATCTGGGAAGTTTAGTTCTCCAGCTCAGACCATAGTGTGTGAGTCCATTTGACTGTTCCGTGTGCATCAGTGTTCACTTTGGTATTATCCTTCAAATGGGTTCCCTCTTCAGAAGGATTGTGGCTGTATTTTGAATTTTGCCCTACAATTCCTTAATATACATGCAAGTTTAGGCTAAAGGTGTCAAAGGAGAATGTATACCATCATGTCCCCTGCCCTCCTCTGCTTCAGGGATGGGCATGGGCATGGTGGGAGGGAATAGTCTTCAGTCTTCTCAACTGGCATGGGGCACAGACTAGGGACCTTTGGAAATGCACACAACCATCCTTCCCTTCTTCTCTTGTAACTCTCAGTGGGTTCCCCACAAGTGAGAATACCTTATTGTCAATGGGTATTTCAAAGTGCGCACACCAGAAGACACAAAGAAGCCTCCTCAACACCATTCTCATCTTGCTGCCTCTCTTTCCTTGCTTTGTCCCTAGGCAAGTGTGAAATCGGCTGGGCCTACTATTGCACTGGAGCAGGTGCCGCAGCTGCCATGTTACTGTGCACGTGGCTAGCTTGCTTCTCGGGCAAGAAGCAGAAGCACTACCCCTACTGAGACCGTGCCATCAGGAACTAGCAGAAGAGGAGCTGGGCCACAGGGGCTTGAAGGGGCCAAAGCATCCAGCTGGTTTTGCAAGGTGGAATGGTGGTTCTGATTCCAACAGTGCTTGAAATGAAACTCCATGGAATTGGGAGCATTCTGTAGGAAGGGAGGGTGGTGGGGGAGTTGTCAAAGGCATGGAGAGTATGGAATGATGGAGAGAAATGGACCAAAGGCTAAAAATATTGCAGGATGTTGGATGTTTCTATTCCACAGAGTATTGTTAATGTATATCACATACACACACAAGGCAAATCTATATATGCAAACAAGGATTTTGTTTTTGTTCTCTTTTAAAAAGGCGAGGACTAGGGAGAGTCAAAAGGGCTAGTAGAAACAGTGTTATCTTAGGAAGCAGGGTAGGCACTCTGCAGACATTCCCTATAGGTGAGGACCGCACCTGAAAGCACACAAGTACGTGCACACATACACATACACACGCATATATCATCACACCCACTATATGGAGGGAGGGTCAGCTCTACACTGTTCTTTTGTTTTCTTTTTAATATATGCTAAAGACACAGTATTACCATTTTATAAATCATACATTATACCTGGTCCATGGACCAATATACCACTCTATCAGTATTTTGTATATCCTGCATAAAACTCTACACCTGCTTCAGTCTTTATGCAGAATTTTAGAGTTAAGCCTTCATATTTCAATATTATTCAAAGACATGCAATATTTCTCTGAATAGCTTCTGCTATGACATCCTTACGAAGAAAAGCAAGAACTTCTGTTCACTGTAGGGAAGAGTTCAAGTACAGATATGGGAGCAGAGAGAGGCATTTCTCCAGCCGTTAGATCTTGTTTTCTTCCATCCACTATTCTGCTGTGCTGTACCACATTGATTTCAATATTCATTTTGTAAAGAAAAAAAAGTACTATTTTGTTTGTATTTGAAAAGCTCTGTGAATAAATTCTCTCTTTGATCAATAGCTCACTGTGTCATCGAGTGTTAATTCACTGATTTGGGTTGCTTCTTTAATTTCTTAAGCATAGCCTTTCAGGTCTGTTCTTCCTTGTTTTCTTTTAAGGTCGCTATTGCTTCCCTCACAAGTTTTCCAGCCAGACTTTCTAGGCATATAGTGCATTAAAGGTGAGTAAGAATGTTTGCTTTCAGCTTAAATCATTGCAATCAGAATTCTAAACTTCCAGTTCATTTGTAATTCAGTCATGACCAAATTCTTGGAAAAATTTCAGGAGTGCTCTGTACTGGGTTTGGGAATACACACAACATTCCAACATGATTTGTGGAAAGAGTTGACGTAGGATTCAGGAGGTTCTGCACTGATTGTCTCTAGAGTGAAAATGGGTCATCACGGTGACTAGCTACCTTCCCACCATCTACCAGGTGCCGGCTCTCTTTTGTGCTGCTGGTCCAGGGCAGGTTCATACCACTCTTATGTGGAGATCTTGGTCACTTGAGTAACATTGTCTCCTACTCCAGCCCCCAGCAGGGAGCCTTGACTAAAGAGAAAGATTTAGACCCGTTAATGGTGTTAGAAATAAAACCCGAGGCCCAAGGAACCCATCAAAACTGCACAAAGAACAGGTAGACAAAGCAAGGGCAGCTTTTACTTTTGCAAAAGGATGCATGGTCCGTCAGATCCAGCAAGTACACCTGAGGCAGAAGGCTGATGGGGTTTTACCCCTAATATTTTATCCTTGACACAAGAGTTCTGTGTTTTCCCCATCGACTGGGGTCTGACCTCACAGTCTTTCCCAAACGGCCAGCTTAAATATATCGGCACAAAGGAAGGAGCAAGGGAATTGGCCAAAGAGTGGGGAAGCCCCAGCTACCCCAGGCCGTCAGGCTCAGGGATACCTCAGGGCCTTTTCCTAAATAAAAATCTCTGAGTGTGGGGGAATTAAAAAACTAGAATTTCTTGCCGGACATGGTGGCGCACGCCTTTAATCCCAGCACTCGGGAAGCAGAGGCAGGTGGATCCTCTGTGAGTTCAAGGCCAGCCTGGTCTACAGAGTAAGTTCCAGGACAGCTGTGGCTTCAGGGAGACCCTGTCTCAAAAAGACTATATATATATAATTTCTTATCATAAGTCAAAAGTTTTACAGGTTCTGAAAGAAAAAACTAATATTTAATGTTTCTTACATTCCTTTCCCCCGCCGCCAGCAGAACCAACTCTTTCAGGAGCAGATGTTGCATGCCAGATAATGGCTGTATCTTTAAGAAGCATGTTTGAAGGACTGAGGAAAATCCCTAAACACCCCACCACCAGCACCCCACCATATGCTTCCTGTCCCTGTGCAGCTGACCTCCATGTCAGCCTAACTCCAACTCCATAACTTCCCCTTCTCTCCTCCATTCTCCTCCTCCAGGAAGCTGCTGAGATTTACAGCTTATCTGCCCTGGGGATTTTCTTTTCAACTCTAATAAAATAGTTCACTTTGAATAAACATTGGCTTTGCTTGACTTTCAGGGAAAAAAATGCATTCAGTTTTAAAGCTTCATGCACTTCATATTTAGAAACTGAACACTCTGGCTATTGATGCATATGTCTTTTCTATAGACAAATTTGTCATCTTGAATACCTGCATATTACACTTACTTCTGGTACTTTGTAATCATTCCAATTGTGGGTCCATGAGACTTTGGAAGAACAATACAAGAGTCTAAGTGATAAAAGTTTGGGCTTTCCAGGCATAGTTGAAGGAAGTCACTCCACTCTCACATGCTTAATTCCTGCTGTGCTGGGCTCCTCTGATTGTGCCTCATTGTCTGCTGAGCAAGTGCCTCTCCGCTCTGGCTTCCTGTAGGGGAGAGGAGATTGCACTTTTCATGAACTGCTGGAGTTTTTCTTTCTTCTTCTTCTTCTCCTTCTTCTTCTTCTTCTTCTTCTTCTTCTTCTTCTTCTTCTTCTTCTTCTTCTTCTTCTTCTTCTTCTTCTTCTTCTTCTTCTTCTTCTTTTTTTCACTACACCTTCCTGTCAGAATAGTATTGTGACTTTTAAGCTCCCATTATCAGATTGGACTTCTCTATGGAATTCATTAAGGTCTAATTCCCTGGACAGGGATAATGGTTCCATTGTCGTTTTTACATGATCTTTGTGATTTTAGACATTAGTGAGTCTCCCTAGAATAAGATCACTCCTGCACGATACAGTCAAATGACAAACTTTTTTTTTTTTAATTTTTAAAAAGTATTTATTTAATAACAACATACTTAGAAGAAGCATATCATTACAACACAATTGAAATATTCAATCCTGAGGTAGGATGCATCTCTTTCAAAATTGGCTGTAAATTTTTAGGTTTACAGTTGAATTATTACATCTCATAAGGTAGAACAGCAAGAAGCTGTCCCTCAAAAGCAGCTCACAGACTGACGACAGAGCAGGGCAGAGAAGTGTAACTGCTGGGCCCCAGCAACGATACCAGCTACAACCCAGCATGGAGCTCCTCTTCTGATGCTCTCTGGGACCCAAGAAGCAAATCCAAAGTTAGTTCACACAGCCTGCAAGTTAGCATCAGTAACAGCCGTAGGTCTCACATTTAACAGGCTGATTTGGTACATTTCCCAGTCATATGATGATGAACAGACTCTCGTGTGTTCTGGTTTGATTACTCTCCCTAATAGTCAGGTTCTGTAGCTTGTCAACCAGTGTGATGGTACCCAAGAAAACATTACCATTGAAATCTACCTGATGACTTTATATTCATGCTCAGATGCCTAGAAGCTCAGAAAGTAACCAACTGTGACTAGTAATAATCAGATATTTAGAGAATAGAAATGCATGTGCAAACATCCAATGTCAATTGCATTGAAAAAGAATTTTTCTATATGAAACTGTGTATTTTAATAATGAAATGGAGATGACAAACTTTTGACTTTCAAATTTGGGCTACTCAAATGAATCTCTCTCTCTCTCTCTCTCTCTCTCTCTCTCTCTCTCCCTCCCTCCCTCCCTCCCTCTCTCATTATTTAAGGAAATGACATCTAATTTATTGGGATGCATCATAGGATGCAGTTGGGATAGACTTATGATTCTCTTTTTGTCCTAAGGTCTGACCAACCTAATTCTCAAATTACTGCATTTTAAAATCAGTTAAAGTTAATTCTTTCTGGCTGCTGTGCCACAACTTGAAATACTGTTGAATTCATCTAGTTATCTTTTTAAACATTTAAGAATTGTTCTTTTCATAGGACTGAAGAAATAACTCAGCAGTTAAGAGCATTGACTGTTCTTGCAGAGGACCTAGATTCAATTCCAGCACCCACATGGCCGGCTGACAGGCATCCTGTTCCAGGGGCTGCCCTCTTCTGACCTCTGATGGCACGGGTGCACTTGCATACATGCAGCCGGTACACTCACATACATAAAATAAAAATAATAAAATGTAAAAATTTTTCTTTTTCTTTTTTAAAAAATTTATCAAGTGATAGCTGGATGTGGTGGCACATGTCTTTAATTCCAGCAGCACTTGGGAGGCAGAGGCAGGCGGATCTGTGAGTTCAAGGCCAGCCTGGTCTGCATAGCGAGTTCCAGGCCAGCTGGGGCTACAGGGAGCCCCTATCTCAAAAAAAAAAAAAAAAAAATTATCAAGTGAAACATTACCTAGTTGCAAATAAAAACTAAAGCAAATCATCAAAAACAACAACAAAAAAGAATTTCAAAGCTGGTGAATGGCTTAGCAGGAAAAAGCATTTGCCACACAAGCCTGATGACTTGAGTTTGATCCACAGAACCCATGATAGGAGGAGAAAACCCAAAGTTGTCCTCTGATCTCTACACACTGTGCCTGCACACACACACACACACACACACACACACACACACACACACATTTAAATAGGACAAATATTAAAATTTAAAAAATTTCATACATTGGGCTGAGAATGTTAGCTCAGTGATGCAGTACTGGTCTGGTATGCACAAGACCTTGGAAACTCAATCCCCAGCATCACATACACACACACACACACACGCATACACACGCACACACACAAGCAAATTATATATACATATTTATTTTCAACTGAAAAATAAAAATGCAATTTTCTGGTCTTCATAAGTCAGCATTAAAAAAATGAAAGGATAAACCAAAGATAGGGATAAGTTATATATCTGACAAAAAACCTTACAAACAAAATGCAAAAGGAATACTGCAATTGAATAATTATACCTATATCACACCCTGTCCTCCCAGGGTTCAGGTATCATTGTGGAAGAGAGGACAAAAAGATTGTTAGAACCAGAGGTGGTGGATGAGTACAAGGAAATCATGTTCTCTAAATACTACAGAGTGCTTGCACATATGAACCCACAGCACTTGCAACTGCATGCACAAGACATGTGCAAGCCCAAGCCAGACAAACACTAAGCATGGTTGGGGGAGGTGGCAAGAAGCCCAGTCTAGATGAGGATCTATTGGCAACTGATAGCCCTGGGGAGGAAGAAAGTCAATTTCTTTACAGGTACGTCACCTGATGTGTTGACCAGACTCTAGGCTGTAAGACCCAAGAGCATTTGGAAGCACAGATTAGACTCAATAGGCCTTTAAAAAAAGAAAAGACAAATAGTAGTAGTGGACAAATAGAGTGGGAGGGGTGGAGGTTGGAGGGGTCTGAATATGATCAGAATACAGTATGAAATTCTCAAGTCAATGAAAATATTTGAAAAGAGTAAAAACTTGAATGTTATTTCTAAACAACTGAAAGATGCTCAACAGTATTAAATTACCAGAAAATGAACTTGGAGAGTCACAATGAAAACGCATATGGGATGGCTAAAAAGTAAATATATTGACAACATTAAATATTGTACAGCATGTGGGTTCACGATGTAAAGATATTGGGCAATTTTTTATTATGTTAGCTATAGTAGCATCCCTCCTAGTTATTTGTACTCTCAAAAAAAAAAAAAAAAACCTATGACCACAAAATGACTGTATAAGAATGTTTATTTCAATTTTATCT